TTCTGCTCCTGGATTAGCTGGGTGGTTCTGGCCCTAGGCTCTCCGCAGGGACTTCAGCTGCACAGTTTAACACCAGGCCTGTATGCCGGGCCTGGGCTGGTTCTGGAGGGGTCCGGAGGGTCCTGAGGGCACGGTGGAAGCAGGAAGTTTAAATTCAAAAGTTAAAATCTCAATATTCTTGCAAAAGTTTTCTGTTTTAAAAGCAGCTTTATTGACATACAAATAATACAGAGTAATGACACATACTTTTTTTTTTTTTTTTTTTGGCAGAACCAGGGATTGAACTCAGACCCTTGTGCTTGCCAGAGAAGTGCTTATTCTACTGAGACATGTCCCAGGCCCATTGGCACATGCTTAAGATGCATGACTTGATAAGTTTTGACATTTTTATAGTTTAAACCCATGAAATAATTACCACCAAAATTTGCGCTATGCCCCTTTGGGATTCCTTTGGCCTCTCTAATGTCCCCCAGGAAACCACTGATGTGTTTTCTGTCACAGTAGGTTGACTTGTTCATTTTCTGGAATTATATATAAATGGAAGCTTATAATATATACTCTTTTGTCTGTTTTCTTTCATTCAGTACAATTATTTTGAAATTTATTCATACTATAGCATGTGGCACTAGTTCATTCCTTTTTGTTGCTGAATGGTACAAGTAGGACTAGAAGGAGGATGGTGAAATACATAGGGTATAAAATACAGTCAACTTAAGGGAAATTATTATTCCCATAAGAACACGACGTGAGAACTGTTTGCTTAACAAGATCTTTTAAGTGTAACATACAGCATTGTTAACTATAGGCACAGTGCAGCACAGCAGATCTCTATAGTTCACTTATCTTGTTTGACTGAAACTTATACCTGTTTTAATAGCAAATTTCTATTTCCTCTCCTTTCAGCCCCTGGTAACTGTCACTCTAATCTCTGTGCCTAGGAATTTGGTTATGTAAGACATTTCATCTTTATTGGAACTATACAGTCTTGGTCTTTCTTTGATTAGCTCATTTCATTTAGCATAGTGTCCTTTAGGTTCATCTCTGTTTTTGTAAATTGCACAATTTCTTTTTTAAAAGCTGAATAATATTTTATTTTGTGAGTAGCCCACAAGTTCTTCACTTATTCTTCTGTTACTATTTAGGTTGTCTCCATGTCTTGGCTATCATGAACATGAAAGTTCAGATCCTAATTTTGATTGTTTTGGGTATACAGTTAACCCAGAAAAAGAATTGGTGGGTCATGCGGTAGCTGAATTTGTAAGTTTTGATGTACCTTCATACTATTTCCATAGTGGATATATCACTTTACATTCCCACTAGTAGTGTACAAGAGTTCCAATTTCTCCACATCCTCACCAGCACTCTTTATCTTTTGTATCTGTTGATGATAGTGATCTTGACAGATCTGAGGTGATGTGTCCTTGCAGTTTTGAGTTGCATTTCCCTAATGATTAGAGATGCTGACCATAGTTACTGGTCATTTGTGTACTTCATCTCTCCTTCCTTTTCTTCTACTACCTCTTCCTTCCTACCTCTGGTCTCTGGTACCTCGTCTTTCTTCTTCACTTCCTCCTCCTCTTTCCTCTTCCTCCTCTTCTTCTCTATCTCCTTTCCCCCCTCTTTTACTCCTCCCTCTCCATTTCTCCTTCCCTCCTTTTCTTCCCCCTTCTTCCTCTTCTCCTTCTCCTCCTTCTTTTGCTTCTTCTCACTTTCCCACATCCTTTCCTCCACCTTATAATCTTTTGTTTTATTTTGATTTGGTTTAGTATTGGGATTAAAACCAGGTTCTTTACATTGAGCTATACCCCATTTATTTTTTTAAAATTTTGAGACAAAAAAATTTCTAAGTTGACAAAGCTGGGCTGGACTTGTTGTCCTACTGCCTCAGCCTCCCAGAGAGCTGGGATTACAAATAAGAGTTGTCATGCTGGTCTTATGTCTTCCTTAAAGAAATGTCTATTTTATTTTATATTTTTTTACTTTATTTTTTTCCATAATTTTATTGAGAAACAAATAGCAATGAGACAGTTTCAAATCTTATTAATAGGGCAGTTTTGATAATTAACACATTGCATATTGTTGTCTTAGTGGTTATTCATTGTACAAGATGCAGACATGATATCCTATTTAAAAACATTATTAGAATAAACCTTTCTATACAATGAATTAAGATAATGTGGCTGTATATCTATCCTAACTATTTTGAATATACAGATACAAAATGGTCATTCATTTGTATCCCCTTTTTTGTTTAGTTTTATCATTTAAATATTATAATGTGTGAATTCAGCAAAATATTCCAAAATAGTCCAGTAGTACATAATAATAGTGGGTTTTCCATAATACTGGCAATGTCAGAAGTTGTTGACTTGAGCCTTTTACAGCTCAGCATATTAATATGGTTTTACTTTTTTTGAGTAAGATGATTTATTTATTTATTTATTTTCCATAATTTTATTGAGAAACAAATAGCAATGAGACAGTTTCAAATCAAATTGGTAGGACAGTTTCAATAATTAAAACATTGCATATTCTCTTCCTAGTGGTTATTTGCTGTACAAGATGCAGACATGATATCTATTTACAAACACTATTAGAACAAATCCCTCTATTCATTAAGAGAATGTAACTATATATCTATCCTAACCATTTTGAATACACAGATACAAAATGGACATTCATCTGTATCCCCTTTTTTGTTTAGTTCCGTCATTTGTATATTATAGTTGTGTGAACTCAGCAAAATATTCCAAAAGAGTCCAGTAGTCCATAATAGTATTGGGTCTTCTGCTTGACTGGCAATGTCAGAAATTGTTGACCTGAGTCCCCTACAGCTCAACATAACAGTATGGCTTTACTTCTTTTACTTCATTTTTATACTTTTCTGCTGGATGGTTAAGACCAAGGTAAAGCAGGACCTATCCAACAAGAGTTTAGATTTTGGGTCTGATAAGATCAGTCAAATCCCCTCCAGACTTATCCTGAAACCCTGTACCACAGTTTGTAGATCCTTTGTCAGTGTCAGTCATGTGGATGAGTCACAGCCATGGCTTGACCAATTCACTTTCTGTGAAAGCCTGAGAGAATGTTTTCTCTCCATGTGACTCTCCTTAGGCACATTCTACATCATCAATCACTTTCCTCTGTGGCCCAATAATCTCCTTGATCAGAAAAAGGACATGGGAGAAATGTCTATTTTAGCCTTCAACTTTTTTTGAGAGAAGGGGTGCCAGGAACTGAATCCAGGGCTCTGAGTTTGCCAGAAAGGTGCTGTACCACTGAGCTATATCCTCAGCCCCCTTCACTTATTTTTAAAAATAATTTAAATTGGGTTATTTGGTTTCTGCTATTAGTTTGCAAGAGCTCCTTCTGTATTTTAGATATTAACCCCTATCAAATATGTGGCTGGAAAATATTTTTTGCCATCCCAAAGATTTTTACTTTGGTAATTGTTCTATTTATTTTTTGTAAAAATTGTTCAGTTCAGTGTAGCTCTACCCATGTCTGTTTTTGTTACTTATGTTTTTGGTATCATATCCAGGCTATTCTGTTTTCTTCCAAGAGTTTTAGTATTTCAGGTTCTGCATTTAAATGTTTGATCTATTTTGAGTGTGTGTGTGTGTGTGTGTGTGTGTGTGTGTGTGTGTAACATAAAGTTCCAGCTTTATTCTTTTTCAAGTGAATATCAGGTTTTGGCAGAAGTTTGTTGACAAAGCCATTGTATTTCTACTGCATTTTTGGCCCCCTTATTAAAGATGATCAGTTGATACTATATGTATGATTTTATTTCTAACTTCTCTATTTTGTTCCATTTATCTACATGTCTGCTTTATTGAAATACTATTTTAACTGCTTTAGTTTGTAGTATATTCTGAAATTTGGAGTATCATACCTCTCGCTTTGTTATTGTTTTGCAAAATTGATTTGGCTATTCAGGGCCTTTTGGAATTTCATGTGAATTCTAGAACTTTAATTTTTTTCTGTAAAAATGCTATGGAGATTTTGAAATGCCATCAGTTCTGAATCATTTTAAATTGTTTTGCTCTTATTTTCTTTCTCAAAGTGAATTCTATTTTACTGCTTTGCCTTTTTTTTTTTTTAATTCCATGGAACACATTCTAAAATTGGTGCTTATCTGAAATTCAGATTTAATTAGGTATCCTGTATCTTACCTGGCAGCCCTATATCCTGAGAACTCCAGTTCTCTAGAGCTCTCTGGACTCATTGTCTCTTCAATTCAGGGAATTTTCCAATCTCTGCTGAATTCTCACCTGCTTATTCTGTAACTGGACCCTCACAGCAGTAACCTGACTCAATAGAAGGGCACATAGTTGTGTCCTGTCTCTCAGAAATTGCTGTCCTTACTTTGTCTGATGTTCATTATGTCATATACTTTGTCTTGTTGTTGTTTAATATAAGAGGGTAAATCTTGTCTCTGTCACTCTATCTTAATTGAAAGTAGAAGTTGATCCCTAGAGCTTATTATCTTGGTCCAAGGGCCAGACATGGTGCTATGCTGGCCAAAAAATTTAGGTGGAATCTTCTTGTGCACGAGTTTGTTGGTTTATTTCATAGTGTCATACAATCAGCTATCTACAAAGAAAAGAATGCTGTGGGTCACAGGGCTACCTGATGATTATGGCTCACTAGTGTTACAAAATTAGTTAGAAATGCATATCTGCTATTCAGGTAAAAAGGATGGGCCATTGGGTTTGTTATCAAATAAAATGATAAATTAACACATTATGCTCATTATTTGTGAGAGTTTGGACCAAAATATAAGTTTGGCTGAGGGTCAAATCTTGGAACCTAATTGATCTGGGGAGTCAGAGACATGAGGAAAAATATGATAAAGGCAGGGTGGTCAAACAGAAGCCCTTGAGGGAAAATTTAGAATCTCCTACTTCCTGTTCAACAATTGGTTATAGTCTCCCTAGAGGACTCTGGAAATAAAAATAAAAGAATGTTTTCTCTTCTGTCTTGGATTTCTTTTGGTGCAGCTATATGCCGCTATCCCCTGGGCATGTCAGGAGGCCATATTCCAGATGAGGACATCACAGCTTCCAGTCAGTGGTCGGAGTCCACAGCAGCCAAATACGGAAGGTGAGATTGGCTCTCTCAGGAAAGTCTGGATTTTGGGTCATTATAACTTTTAGGATGCAGACGCCTGATTCAATCAGCTAGTGAAGAGAGATGGTACTGGTCAGAGCTGGTGGAATAAAGGAAAAATGTTAAGTGGGCTTCTCCTGCTCTTCATACTTGCAGAGAGGGAGAACTTGGGCTTGGTTGTGTTGCTGCTCTGACAACCTCATCCCAACCACAGATGCCACAGAGCCACATGCCCACAGTAAATGGATTCAATAATTGGCAGTGAATTCTCATTATCTGACCTTGTTATTGAGGACTGCTGCAGGAAGGAGACCAAAGCAGCAGTAGGGAGAGGTCCAGATGATGTGGGATATTCAGAGTGAGCGGATCTGCTCCTCTTCTTGTGGGTTTCTGTGCAAACAGCACTCGTGCAAAGCATCAAGAGCTTAATCAGACACTGAGTCCTTCAACAAATTTTTCTCCTTTAAACTTCACCCATAAACAGGGCATCGTAGAGTTCTCATGGAAGTATTTCACAGGTCCTCTAAATCAATAAAATCTCAACTCAAAGACTAATCTTGCAATTCATTCCACTTTCTTGGATCTAATTCTTTTGGTGTAAGGTACTATTTTTTTAAAAATAGAATCACCCATAAAGAAAGTGACCTTGGTAAACTTTTCTCATAATATTTACCTTAGTATGAAAGACCAGAGTGATGGTTGGTGAGGTTGGAAGGGAGCAAACAAATGAATGGGTAACATCTGTGAGAAAAGAGAGCATTCCAGGGAAGAGGGAAAGTGGCAAGAGGTTCCCAAAATAAACCTTATACTGATTTCACAATTTTACTCCATAGTAACTCAACCTGGAGGTAATAAAATGAAACCAGATTATTTACTTCTCCCCTGACATGCTCTTAGCCCTTACCCTCATGGTGGATTTGCTGGGTGGCCGTGCCCATCCTGCTGGTTAAAATTCCACTGCACTGCATAGCCCACACGGGAGCTCATAACGTCTCTCCGTCCCCACTCCCACAACTTGATATCCAATCCAGGAGTGACCAGCTGTGTTAGACTGACTTTGAAAACTGGGCAGGGGGGATGGTGAGATGCCTCCGTGGGGAACTGGGCATAGAAAAGTTTTCGTGTCCGTTGAAGTCTCTGAATTAACTTGGAAAAATAAAGTCTTCACATTTTCTGAAGGTTTTCAGCTCCCTGGCGGTGATTCCTTATGGGTTTCATGGTGATTCAGGGGAAGGAAACTGACCAAAAAATATGAAGGGTGAGATCAATCAGAATTCTTCCAGTGGGAAGAACCCCAAACTCTGTTGGTACTCCCAGCTTACACTCTTCCTGCAGCGCAGAACAGCACCTTGTTCTTATCTGGTGAAGAACTCTATGGTCTTATAGTTGCTTCCTCTCTCCCCAACCTTTGGCTGTCAAGGCTGGACTCAGAAGAAGGGGATGGAGCCTGGTGCCCTGAGATTCCAGTGGAACCTGATGACCTGAAGGAGTTTCTGCAGATTGACTTGCATACCTTACACTTTATCACTCTTGTGGGGACCCAGGGACGCCATGCGAGGGGTCATGGTATTGAGTTCGCACCCATGTATAAGATCAATTACAGTCGAGATGGCACTCGCTGGATTTCTTGGCGGAACCGGCATGGCAAACAGGTAGGAAGAAGAGACATCCACTCCCTGGGGGAATCAAGAATAGATTTTGACTTAGGCCAGAAGAACACTAGTTGTGTAGGTATCTATAGGCCTGGCATTCCCTTGTAATCATGACCTAGTTTAAGGGAAGTGACCCAGAGAAGAATAGAAGGGCAGCTAGAGAAGCTGAGTGGATATATTCTGTTCCTTGAATTAAAAGGAGAGGGCATATCAAAAGGGAGATAGGGTAAAGAAGAGTGAACATGATTTTATACCCTCTCTTTTTTTCTTCTCTTTCTCCTTAGGTGCTGGATGGAAATATTAACCCCTATGACATTTTCCTGAAGGACTTGGAGCCTCCCATTGTAGCTAGATTTGTTCGCTTCATTCCAGTGACTGACCACTCTATGAATGTGTGCATGAGGGTGGAGCTCTATGGCTGTGTCTGGCTAGGTAGGTCTCTAGCACAGGGATCTTACAGACCATATGAAAAATATCATGACTGGGAAATAAAGACAATTAAATTAGAAGGGATTGGGATCCGGTACCCTGGAATGAAATTATTATTCCTCTTGGTTAGAGAAGAAGATGGATCACTGTTCATCTATCCTGGGCTTGGTGATTTACACTTGACATTATGCATTTACAGTAACTTCTGCTGGCCACTCCTAAAGTGTGCACTTCAGCAATGCTCTCTGTGCACCTGAATTGCACCCTAGAGGGCACACTGCACAGGTTTGCACCCTGGGAGCTCACGTAGCTCCCTGGAGGTAATCAGAGCAGCAACCGCACCTTGTTCCCAGAGTTACAGACAACTGTGTTTCCTTTGGCAGATGGCTTGGTGTCTTACAATGCTCCAGCTGGGCAGCAATTTGTACTCCCTGGAGGCTCCATTATTTATCTGAACGATTCTGTCTATGATGGAGCTGTTGGATACAGGTAAATTCTGGGGAACTTTGGTCATTACAATGGGAAAACAACTACCAGGAAAAAATAATATTTTATACAGCTTGATTAATTATCAATCCACTTATTGTATTTAATTTCTGTACTAATTACTGCGAGATGATTTAGATGAAGTAAACTCTGTGGTCTTTATTTCCAAGAAACTTAAAGCTGACTTTGGGAAGAGGTAAGCACACAGGAAACAATGATAAATTACTCAAATAAAAGACTAACTTTCATAATGTGATTCAGAAGTGTGAGGGCCAGGGCTGGGGAGATGGCTCAGTAGAATAAGCACTTCCCTGGCAAGCACAAGGGCCTGAGTTCGATCCCTGGTTCCGCAAAAAAAATAAATAAATAAAAATAAATAAATAAATAAATAAAAGTGTGAGGGCCGGCCAAATAGCTTAGCAGATTAAAGCACCTGCAAGCAGGCACAGGGGCTGGGGGTGGGTGTTGGGTCAATCCTCAGACCTATCATCCCAGCCTCACCCCCAGGGCACACTGAGACAGAGATTGAGACTGGGCGTGGTGGTGTGCACCTGTAATCCCAGCTTTTGCGAGGTTGTAAACAGGTGGATCACTACGAGTTCGATCTAGTAGTGAGATCCTGAACACCCTGAAGACCCTTCCCTAAAATACAAAAAAAAAAAAAGAAAAAAAGAAGTGTGGTAGCCATATTTTTGACCTGAAAAACCAGTTGTATTGGCTTAGTTGTGGAAATAAAGGGCTGGAAGAAGTGAAATAATGTTTATAATAAATCAGGCAAATCTAAAAGTTCAGGAAGAAAGGACTTTATAAATAAATAGAGATTTATATATTGTGAAAATTATGGAAATCAGTAAAACTTACGCTAGATAAGGAATATTTCTAAGGAATGACAAAAATTGAAACATGGAGTAAGATGGGTGGAAAGAAACAGAGGAAACAGGGCTGAGCACGGGAATTTTCAGACAGAGGTAGATAATTGATCTGAGATCAACAGAAAGTACCAACAAATATCCCTGAAATAGATCACAGAAGAGTCATGTTGGAGAAGTATGGTTAAATAAGTAGGCATGCGGAGTTTCTATCTCTCCCACTCTAGGCTTTACCAATCTCAACACCACATGAACACTCATATTTCTTAGCTCAGTCCTTATCCAGAAAAACTGAGCCTGAAAGAGAAGTTAAGCCACAGTGAAGGTTAGACCTCATGATGAGGTTTCCAGGGCTTGAGATGTAGAGAAATTATGTGATTACAGAATGCGCATTAGTTGCCATTTTTCCCAGCTGCCAACCCCTGTGTGAAGTCCTGATTTGTGTAGTTCTGTTTCTACCCACTTCCCTTTCATCCACTGCTTTCATCCAGTTACTGCTCTTTCCTATTTTCCTAAACTGTCTTGGCGTATTTTCACTCAGCCACATCCCCAGTTGGAATATACTCAAGGCACTGAGGAAATCAGAGAGTAATTGAATACAGTTCAGGTAACTCAGTCTTTGCTACTCAGCTGTTGCTCTGCGAAAGGAATTTGACTGGGCATTGTAGGCATTCAAAGGCAATAATTTGTTGACCTTGACTTCAGTCAAATCAATGACTGTAGTCATTGACCCTGTCTCAAAAAAAAAAAAAAAATCTCTAAAAGGCTGAAATAATCTTAACCATTTCCTTGTAACTCACACATTTGACATACAGACTGTTCTTGTTATAAACTTCAGAGGTACCCTTGCTTGAGGGTACTAGAAACTCTTCTTTTGGGAGACTCCTAATGGGTCTCCTATAGCTTGTGCGACAGAGCTGCGTGTTTCATGAGGTGAGTTCTTGCCCTGTTCCTCCATAAAAAGAAGAACTTTTATGTTCATCACATAGACAAATTAATATAAGTACACTTCTTGTTGGTGGTTGACTAGCCAAAACGGTGACACACTGATCATCACGTACTCAGCTTCAAAATGCCCAGAGTCTGGAAAACAACAGCTCAGAGAGAATCCAAAGGATGTTCAGGGCACACAGGAACCAAAATGGAGCTGACAGTGGAGAAGAAGACAATAGGATTCGTTGCTTCAGAGGCAACAGCTCACCCCCGCAGCTCCGAGACTGAGCACTGTGACCAGAGCAGATTCAGCAAAAGCAACTTTGCTTCATTCTGGGAGGCTGAGGACAGACCTGGACCAGGAGAGCCTTGTACAGTCAGAGGTAGCCGTGAGGATGTGAGTCATTCAGTCACCTGAGTGTCCCCACAACAGCTGCTGGTGAGTGAACTAGAAAGGCACCTGGCACACAGACTCTCTGAGGTCTAGCAGTATGAGGACAGGGCTACCAATCCATTCTATTTTAGAAGGCTCAGGACTTAAAATGCAGAGCAGAACCGCTCTAGGGTCACTTCACTGTTAATGTCTTTGAGTGGAAACAAGGAAGGGCTGTGCAGTCACAGCAGAGTAAGCAGCTGGACAGCAGACTGGGGGATATTTTACAGAGCAGTAGGATCTGGAGCCACTCACACTCCATTCCACCAGAGGCCACAAGCCAGTCTTAGCCTTAGCGATAGTAAACTGGAAGCAGCTTGTTGCTCTACAATCAGCAGCACAAGCAAGCAAGTGGCCTTGGGTGGTGATAGGACAAGGGCACTCTTCCTGCCCTATGTCCACTCACGAGCAGAGTCTGTGCTGTGGCCTATCAGTCCCACATCCAGCAGTAGTCCTACTGCAGATTTGGTGGAGTTACTCAGTACACACTATGGCTCTGACTAGGGAACTAACAGAACTGGGGGCACTAGAGGAATTTTTATTGAGGGGTGATTGTTTAGGTTTTGACTGTAATTATTTGGTTTGTTTTTTTCTGTCCTCTCTCTTTCCTCAATTGTACTTCTTGTTTTTCTGATATGTACATGGGAATGAAAATTATCTCTAGTCTTTCTGGTTCATTTCAATATTTTCTTGCTTTCTGCTTCATTCTTCCTCTCCTGTCCCCTTTTCCAGCTGCCCAGGATATAAGTGATCATCCTTTATCCTTCAGCCTTGCTTGCACTATGTTTCTCTTTAGTTATTGCTTGGCTTTGTACTCTATCCCTCCTGAATTCCCCTTCCCCACAGGTGAAACTCACTGTGTACAATTTCTTTGTCTGTGTTACAGGTTGTTATATAACTATACATCTTGCCCCTTGGGCTAGAGATATCAAATTGGCAATTACCACAGATTGTCAGTTTTTAGGCTCGCTGACTATACTACTTTATCTAGGATGCTATACTTATGATAATTAGTAATTAACCTTCGTGTGATGACATTGTGATAATCTGGGGTCAGAATCATCCTCATAGGCCAGTACCAAAGGTCTGGGTGCTGAGCCAAATAGATAGCAACTCCTTGTCCCTAATAAAGCAGAGAGATAGGACCTTGGGACAGACACAAAGACCAACTGCCAGTTATACCTAGGAGACATCTTGGCAGAATATTTTCTAGAGAATCCCTGATACCAGTGATAAAGCTACCTAACATAAGAAAAATACAAATGTCAATACAGAAAACAAATTCAATTAAGAAGATAGAAATGGTAAGATACAGTCCTAGGTTTCCAGTCCACATAAGACATATCTGAGGAATAATGAGATACAGTAAAACAGAAGTCATTCTGAATCTTCTGGAATGACAGCAGCAGAAATAAAAAGTATATGAGTTTATAGAAGAAGCAAAACCCAGGGGCCAGGGTTTGATTCTCAGCAGGCCATGCTGGCTCTGCCCCTGGGGCAGGCTGAGACAACTAAGACTGGGCATGGTGGCATGAACCTATAATCCCAGCACTTGGGAGGCTGAAAGCAGGAGGATCACTGTGAGTCTGATCTGTGTAGTAAGACCCTCTAGGCCCTGTACTAAATACATAAAAAAGAAGCAGAACCAATAATTTCACAGGTTAAAAAAAGAGATGACAACTATAATAAAGGACTCACTCAATAAATCTAGAGTAAACATAGATTAAAAAAAATAGAGGAGCATAGAAAAATAATGGAAATCATGAATACCCAACATCAGAAAGAAATAGAATCCATGAAACAGATTCAAGCAAATATCCAGTAAGTTAAAAATTTCATTTAAAGTTTGCAAAATTGTATGAAAAAAGTAGATTTCTCAAGAAAAACTCTTAAGGAGAGCGTGGAGAGAAACATTTCAAGTTCTAAAAGAAAATAACTTTCAACCTAAACTGACATGTCTTTCAACATTTTCTCTCAGTGTTAATGGAAAAATAAAATACTTCCATGACAAAGAATAACTGAAAAAACTTACGACAACAAAACCACTTCTTTTTTTTTTCCAGCATGCAGGACCAGGGATTGAACCCTGATCCCAGTGCTTGCCAAAGCAGGCAATTAGTCCACTGAGCTATCTCACTGGTCCCAACCAAACCATTTCTACAAAAAGGTTTGAAGGATATTCTGGAAGAGATAATAAAGACCACAACTCCAAGGATACTTGTAGAAAGAAGTCACCAGGCAGGGCAAGCAATTAAACAGAGGAAAAGACAGGGAACCACTAACAGGAAAATAATATGACAAGGACAAGCCAATGCCTATCAGTTTTAACCATCAATGTAAATGGTCTCAATTTACCAATCAATAGAAATAAACTGGCAAATGGATCAAGAAATAAGATCCAACAATATGGCACATTCAAGAAACACATTTAACTAAAAAGAAATTCATAGACTGAAAGTCAAAAGATGGGAAGTAATACTCCATGTCACAGGAAATTAGAAAAATCAGGAGTAGTTGTTCTATTTGCAGACACTGTGAACTTTGAGTCAAGACTGACCAAAAGAGATGAAGAAGGTCACTACATACTTGTTAAGGAAAATCTTCAAGAAGAAGAGACAGCAATCATAAATATATATGCACCAAATACAGGTGAATCCAGTTATATAAAATAAATACTAATGAACATAAAAAATCAAATAAACACTAACACTATTGCAATGAAGGATCTGAATAGCTCCTTGACACAAATGGGTAGATCAATTAGATGAAAAAATTAACAAAGAAATATCAGAATTGAATTGAACTTGTGAAAACAATGGATGTAGTTGATGTCTACAGAGTGTTCACCCCACAACACTAGAGTATACATTCTTCTTGGTGTGACATAGATTCTCCAAATAGACCACATACTAGATCATAGAATATGCATAAGTAAATACAAAGAAATTAAAATTATCCCATGCATATTATCTGACCATAGTGCAATGAAATTGGAAATCAATGGTAAAGGAAAGCACAGGAGCTCAATAAACGCATGAAAATGAAGTAACATCTTACCAAACAGCCAGTGGGTCACTGATGAAATTAACGGAGAAATTAAACAGTACCAACTATTAAATGATGATAAAAATAAAATATATTAGAACTTAAAGAATACAATAAAAGCAGTGTTGGAGCAAATTAATGGCAGTAAACTCTCACACCAGGAAAATAGAACAAGCTGAAATCAACAACCTAATGTTGAATCTCAAACTTCTGGAAAACAATTAGCACGTCAAGCCCAAAGACAGTTCAAGGGAGGAAATCATACAGATTGGAGCATAAATTAATGGAATTGAGACTCAGAAAGCAGTACAAAGAATCAATGAATCAAAGAGTTGGTTATTTGAAAAAATAAATAAAATTGACAAATGCTTAATCTTATCAAGAGAGGAAATAAAAGACTTAAATTCATGAAAACAGTAATAAATAGAGTGAAATCACAATGGATACTTTGTAAATCCAGAAGGTCACCAATACCTAATTTGTGAACCTTTACTCTAATGAGATGGAAAATACATGAGAAATAGATTTCTAGTTACATATGAATTACTAAAACTGAATCAAGAAGACAATTTCTAAGTAAGCTAAAATCTGTCAGTGAAATTGAAATTTAAAACTAAAAATTAAAAACTCACATACAGCCATAAAGGATAAAATCGAGACATTTATGGTGAAATAGATGCACCTTGAGACCATACTTTTTTTTAATATATCTAATATAGGGTCTACAGGGTCTCACTACATAAATTGGACTCGAAGTGATTCTCTTGTTTTCGGCCTTTCAAGCACTGAGATTACAGGTGTGCACCAGTACGCCCAGTCTCAGTCGCTGTCTCAGTGCTGGGGCTGGCATTGCATGCAAGGGATTGAACCCCAGCCCCTGTGCTTTGCCTAAGCAGGTGCTTTAGTCTGCTAAGCTATCTGGCCAGCCTGAGACCACACTCTTAAGTGAAATAAATCAGATACACATGTATAAATATCACATTGTTTCTCTAATGTGAGAAACTGAAACTGTAGAACCACAACATATAATAGATATTGTGATATAGGAAGAGTTTGTTTAGAAGTAAAGGAAAAATGGGGGAAGGGGAGGAAAGGAAAAGAAAAAAATGAGGGACAAAGGGTTAAAATGGAGACAAAATTTTGTAAATAAGAAGGGGAAGAAGTGGGGGGGGAGGGGAGGGAAATGGGAGAAAAATAAAAGAGGAACTGAGACATGTCATGTATAGGTACAACTTCCAAAGGAGATGATCATTGTGTGTACATAAACTATATCAATACACTTAATAATAAAAACCCATGAGTAATCTTTTATCCCCTCCAGGAATCAGACATACTCAGCCCGTTAATCAGCCTTGTGTTCAAAATTGGAAAAGGCTGCCAAGCTGGAAAAAAAAATTCACATCTAAAATCTGAGACTCACATAAAAGCTCTGCATTTTACTCCATGGATAGTGGATAGCTTTCTACATATTTATTTAAAAGTAATCATATATTAGTTCTTTAAATTCAACAGGGATCACTTTTTCTTCTGCCTTTAGTTAAATTGGGATTTTTGGAAGTCTCAGGTAGAGTAGAGAATGAATGGCTTCTCTGAAATTAATTCACTTTGCAGAAGGGAAAGGGGTCAAGAGTTGGAGGGAGTGGGGAGAAAGAGCAGAGGAAAGGGATGCCAGAAGAATTAGCACATGTTATATACGTGTACCAACTCCTCATGATGAAGGTAATCATTATGCACTGAAAACACTTAGTAATAAAAATAAAAATTAAAAAATAAAATTATTTCACTAAACTATGACAACATGCTGTCTGAGGAGAGTCTGAAAAATGTTCCAATGAGCATTGAGAACATTTATTTAGTGATAGGGTAAGTGCTTTCAGTGTTTTCATTCACTCTTTCATTAATTTACTAATGAATTAATTTATCAGGTGTATTTGATATTATTGATTCATGTATCAAGACATTATATTCGGTGTGGAAGAGTAGGCAGAGTTTGTATAGATTATGGAAGTTTTCATATGAAAAATAGAACATTGTTTAAGTGTTTTGCCACTAATGTGCTAAGCATTAAACATTTTGTAAAATTAATTTATATAAAATTCTTAATTCTTTCTTGATGCTTGGGAAAAAGAAATGAGTTACTATACAGTACATTCTATTTTCTATAATTCTTCAACATCTAAGATAATCAGCTCTTTAAAAACCCAGGGTGAAGTAGCTGGGTCAAAGCTCTTCATGAATTCACGGCTAACTCCGCATTCCTCTCTCTTTTCCTTCTCTCCTGGCATGAGTAGCATGACCGAGGGACTAGGTCAGCTCACAGATGGGGTGTCTGGCCTGGATGATTTCACGCAGACACATGAATACCACGTGTGGCCAGGCTATGACTATGTGGGCTGGAGAAATGAGAGTGCCACCAACGGCTACATTGAGATCATGTTTGAATTTGACCGCATCAGGAATTTCACTACTATGAAGGTCAGTGGTGGAAATTCTTCAAGGCCAAAGCATAGCAAATGAACGAAAAGGTACAGTAGGAAGACCCCTGAGTGGACATCAGCAGAACCAGATTCAAATATACATTCCAGTATTAGCTACCTGTGTTTCATGATTCTTCATCTCTAAGGGCTTGCTTCTTCATTTGTTTTTCTCTCTCTTTCTCCTCCCCTCCCATCCCCATCTGTAACCCCATCCTCTTTCTCTCCTCCTCCTCCTCCTCCTCCTTCTCCTCCTCCTTCTTCTCTTTCTTCTCCTCCTCCTTCTTTTTCTCCTCTCCTCCTCATCCTCTTTGTCCTCGTCATCCTCGTCCTCGTCCTCGTCCTCGTCCTCCTCCTCCTCCCCCTCCTCCTCCTCCTCTTCCTCTTCTTCCTCCTCCTCCTCCTCCTCCTCCTCCTC